GTGGATGACAGTGAACTGTTGTAGACAGAAGTGGCCAGGTTGGGGCAGGACAGGGCTGCAATTTTGTCATAGAGACAATCTGTTGCCAAAAAGAAGAAGAGAAGGGTTAAGATAACAAAGGTTTCTACAGGTAACTGTAGTTGGAAGACAAGGAAGAGGAAGCCAAGGAGAGAGTGAAGCTAATTAGGGAATGATCAAAGAGAGGAAAAGGAAAGTTGGTGAGGTTGCAAGGAGTGCATAGGTAGGAGAATACAAGATCGAGGCAGTTACCATTAGAGTGAGTAGAAGCATGTGTGCATTGTTTTAGGTCAAAAGAAGTGGTTAGGCTCAGAAGTTTAGAGGTAGCATGAGTGTTAAGATTAACAAGGATGTTGAAGTCACCAAGAATGATTGTGGGAATTTCAGAAAAGAGAAAGTAAGGCAGCCAGGCAGAGAAGCCCTCAAGGAAGCTTGATACCGGTCCAGGAGGCTGATAGATCACAGCAATTCTTAAAGAAACTGGAGAGAATAGACAAATACAGTGAACTTTGAATGAGGAGACGGACAGAGAGGGAGGTGAATGAAGGACCTGAAAAGTGCTTTGAGAGGATAGGATTCCACTCCACCTCCTTTCTGTCCACTAGGCCTGGGAAAGTAAGTCCAGAGGAGACCACCATGGGAGGGGGCAGTAGGAGAGGGAAAGTCATATTCATGAAGCCAGGTTTCCATAATTGCACGTAGGTTAAAGGAGTTTGTGATAAAAAGGTCATGGACAGAGGTGAGTTTGTTACAGAGCGGGCATTCCAAAGGGCACAGGAAAAGGGGAGGCTGGTTCTAGGAAGAAGAGGAAAAGTTACCAGATTGTGTGGATTACTGCTGCTGTTAGAGGATAGGGAGTGCTGGGTGTGTTGGTCAAAGGAAAAAGATGGCGGCCTAGGATTACGGGAAATGTCTCCAGATGTTAGGAGAAACAGAAGGGTGAGAGAGGTAATATGGGGGTATGACTTATGTGGAGGGACAAACTTTATGTAAGAAAAGATTAATATTAGTACATACATCCAATGTACAAACAGGTATTATCGGCAAAGGGTCCAATTGGAATCCTGGTGGAATTGTGCACATATACCCAGTATATCTATATACAGTTATTAATACAGATACCTACAGATGAATGTTGCAGAAAAGTCCAGTTGTAGGGGCCCATAGATGATCGTGATGTGGCATTCATCTTGGTTTCAGAGACCTGAAGCCAAAATCTGTAGTGTTGAGATCCTCCAGCCATTTTCCAACCAGCCTGGAAAACAGCTTCTTACATGCTGAAACCGTGGTGTGGCACTGGAACTCAGTCAGCCTATCTACTCTGCTCTTTAGTCCCTAGCAGTTTCTAGTCTAGCATGCAACGGGACTTCTGACTACTAGAAGTGGCTGTTGGATGCTTAACCTGGCCCTAGCCTATTCTGATTATCAAGCCCTGAGCAAAAACTAGCTCTAGAATCCCAGACCAGAAGGGACAGGGTTAATAAAATAACAGGCACTGCATATAAACTCTATTGCAATAGACAGGTTCACCTACTAAAATACTGGAAGGTGATCACTATAAGTCTGTCACAAGGTTTTAGAAACACACTCCAGAAGCTATCAGCAGCTGCAGTTTAACTATTAGAACATAGGAATACTTGCCTAATAATCAATGCTTCTGGTCTGGGTGAAAATACAGCAGCAATAGCAGCCCCTGTGTGTACAAGGTCATGTGCCTCAGTTCTCTCTCTCCTCTCTCCACTTCTTCCTTCTGGGGTTTCTAATCCAGACACACAGAGACAGGCAGTGACGTACATAAAAAAAGCTCTGTAAACATTAAGCAGCACAGCCACTTACAGACAGTAGAGGGCATCAGATCTGTACAAAAGCTTTAAAACCCACACAGCTCAGCTGATTTTTTAAAGTATAACTAAATGCAAAACTTTATTTTTTAGCTTTGGATACAGTTGAGAGGGATTAGAACACAAGTTTTGATTGCTGTATGTGCCATTAGGGAGATTCACCCTCTCTTTTTGTCCTGTTTTCTGTTATCACGGTAGAGTGAAAGTAAAGGAAATTCCAAAAATTTGGGTTGTCCCCAGAATAAGAATAGAGGGTAAATCTTCCAATGGGGACACTAGGTTTTGTAACCCCCATGACAACCAAGCATTCCTCCACTAAACAGGAATTTCCTCTCACTTTCTGTTTTTGGCTATAGGGCAGGAAATGAAGGGAAATCCCACCAATGGGACACAGATAGCAAAAGGAGAAAAAAAGGGCAGTGGTTCACACTCCCCCCTTACTCTGTTCAATATTTAAAAAAAAAAAATGTTTTGCCTTTAGTTCAACTTTAAGTTGACTTTTGTCAAATCTTCATATACAGCCACGGCCGTCTTTAATATTGATTAGACCCTGGGCAAACATTTTCTTGACCCCCCCTCCATGCAATTTTCCCTCTCTACCCCTACATCCCAAAAAAAACAAACAAACACACACACATAGACTTTAATAATATAAACATAAAGAACTTGTCCACACTCACTGATGGGCCCAGGCTCAATGATTGGATGCTAATGGTTACTGCACATTCTTACTGCTCATACATTGGTTACTGCACATTATCACCCACTAGTTGCTAGAGGTTACTGCACATTATTACCGCTCATCCATTGGTTTCTAGAGGTTACTGCACATTATTACTGCTCAACCATTGGTTGCTATAGGTTACTGGACATTATTACTGCTTGCCCAGTGGTTGCCAGAGGTTACTGCATATCATTACTGCTCACCCATTGGTTGCCAGAGGTTACTGCACATTATTACTGCTCTCCTATTGGTTGCTAGTGGTTACTGCAAATTATTACCACTCACCCACTGGTTGCTAGAGGTTACTGCACATCAGTACTGCTCACCCATTAGTTCTAGAGGTTATTGCACAGTACTATTGCTCACCCCATTGGTTGCTAGAGGTTACTGCACGTTATTATTGCTTATCCATTGGTTATTAGCGGTTAGTGCGCATCATTACTGCTCACTGATTGGTTGCTAGAGGTTACTGCACATTATTACCACTCACCCATTGGTTGCTAGAGGTAACTGCACATCACTACCGCTCACCCATTGGTTGCTAGAGGTGAATGCACATTACTATCGCTCACCCATTGGTTGCTGGAGATTACTGTACATCATTACCACTTATTCATTGGTTACTAGAGGTTACTGTGCATCATTACCACTCACTGATTGGTTGCTAAAGGTTATTGCACATTATTACCGCTCATCCATTGGTTGCTAGAGGCTACTGCACATTATTACCGCTCATCCATTGTTTGCTAGAGGTAACTGCACATTAATAATGCTCATTGATTGCCTGCAACTCACCATGTCCCCCTCTGCAAACTGCTCCGGTCCTGCATCTGCTTTGTTTATCTCTTCCCTTGCTGTTGACATTAGAAGGGTGAGGAAGAAGAATACACATACACAGCCCTTTGATCTCTGCACTGATGGGTGGCTGGCAGGAGAAGGGGGAGGGGCAAGAGAGGAACACAGAGAGCTGCTCTGCCTCACTCGCTTTCACAGCTGCTCTGGTCTTGACAGAGGGCGGAGCGGGATGAGCGGACTCTAGCACATGCAGCCAACAGCTGTGCCTCTACCCTGTCACAGTATGATTACATGTATTAACCTGGGGGATCAGCTGTATAAGAAAATTATCTGCGAGCAGCGCAGGCTCAAAGGGCAGCTACGTTGGGCCCCACAATGACAGGGCCCCAGGCAGCTGCCCCTTTTGCCCTGCGTTAAAGATTACCCTGTATACAGCTTGATTTTCTCTTGTTCAGCACAAGTTTTACCAGTTTACCAGTTGAAAGTAGCAAGATTGCCAGTTGATTCCCCATGCACACAAACAGCATGGATGGAGGAATTCTCAACTGCTGGCTGTTGTATTTATCATTCACAGCACCCATGACTGCCTGAATGCACTGCCTTTACTTCTACTTTAAACTGACTTTTGTCAAGCCAGTTGGTGCTCGCGGGGGCTATCCGCTCCAACTCGAATTTAAGCTGATCAGGGAAACCCAGTCACGAAAATCTCTTAAAAACCTTAAAGTCTAAAGGTCGCCATATACAGCTTGATTTTCTGTTGAGGTGGGCTGTGCTTGCAGGGCCACTCACTATTTAAGTTCTTCCCTATTCCTGCATCTATGGTGCCTTTACTGTGGACATAAATAAAATAAATAGCAATGTGCTTCCCCCCTAGCTATGACAATTATAAGGCTTTAAGGGCTGCACACATGCCGCAACTGTGATGCTTCAAGGCCATGGCAAAAATTTGACAGCATGTTGCATTCAGTGGACATCGAGTCTATGGGCTGCAGCGCAAGCCCGTGCAATGCATGCGACTGCAGCGTGGTAGTGTGCCGTTTATAGGGTTAAATCAGGAAGTGAAGACGCGACGGAATGCCTTCTCATGCCTGTCACGTGCCCTCTGAACAGCAATACAATGCGGATCTCTCTTCAGAGGTATTGAACTTGTGAATGAGCCCTAATGCTCATTTTACTAAGGGATGATCTAACACGAGTAATATCTTAAAGTGTCTCTAATCCCCCCGAAATTTAAGATAATGCAGCTTACCAGCCCTTAGATATGGTGGCTGCATCTTTCAGGCTTTTATCCTTTATTTTCACCTAGTGGTCCTGTGAATAACACACCTCCTGCCCTAGGGTAGCTATGCGGAGAAACAATGGTTGTCATCCTAGGCAGCTCTCCTGATTCACGCTACAAACACATCCTCCTCACTTTATTTCCATTATATTGGGGGCAGGGGAATTTGTAGTTCACAGTAGATGGAAAGAATCTAACATTAGGATTTCAGTTCTGCTCAGGAGCGGACTGACAACTCATGGGGCCCCCGGGCAATAGGGGATCATGGGGCCCCTGTGTCCTTGCCCACACTCAAAAAAGCCTATAAAAAAGGTACCAGGGGCATTTCATGGGGCCCCCTACTGACACCGGGCCCTCGGGCAGTGCCTGAGTGCTCGAATGGTCAGTCCGCCCCTGGTTCTGCTCACAGGAAGTGACCAGGACACAGCTTTTTTGCCTAGATGAACAGGTATTTTCTGTACCTACTAAAAATATTCTTAGCCTGAAAATAAATCTAATGCAACCACCACATCTATTAAATTTTTGTTGGTCTTGTCGCCGGCCCTCTTATTGCTGTGTTGTATGTGATGACGTAGAGGTGCCAGCTGACATTTTGGCGTTGGGAAAAAAGAACTTCAGCTGCTGTGAGACTATGACGTAACGTAAGTATTCCTCTATAATTAAATCATCCCTAGTGAAATCAGCATTATATTCTTCATTAGCTTGGGTGGCATGGGGGCATTGTTATTTATTTTATTTAGGCCTGGAATTAAGTATTATTATATCATAATTCCCCAAAATTAATTTTTACATGTATTGTGCATACATGTTCATCTGTTGTCACTATAAGGAAAGCGGGTCCAAAGCAATAATGTGTTGGAATGAGTGCATGTGGATAGGAAGTGGATGAAAGAAGCTGAAAAAAAACCCAAAAGTACAGAGTAACAAAAATAGAGGAAGGTGAAAACAGTATTACACAGTATGACAAAGAAAAGCAAAGGAATTTATGATGCATAGTGCTTTAGAAAACTAAAGATGGCCATACACATTGTACAGGTCGCTGAGAACGTGTCCTGGACAGCAAGTGTATTTCCCCATTATATGAGTTGTGATCCTTTTAAAGTGGCAGTAAATCTCTTATATGAATTATGAACAAAGTATATCCTTCTATAATGTTTACTTGTCTCACTCCAGAGCACTAACTGTCATTTCTGTCTGCTGCCTCCTCCCTCTGCTATCAGCATGAATCACTTCTAAACAAGTTTTCCTGGCACCAAGAGAAAAAAGGTGGCAGGGAAGTTCTAGCACACAGCCTGTGATTGACATTCTCAGCTCTGTTCCTGCATGCTGTGTGAAGGGGGGTGTATCTCTTCCCTCGAATTAGTTCTCAATGAGCTCTGCAGAGTTTAATTTCTTATTCAAAAATGTTTATTCAATTGTAACACTGAAACACAATAACACAAAAAAGCACCTAGTTTGCCCACACAGGGGCTATGACTGGTGCCATCAAACAGAACAAACATACACAGTATGAGCAAAGGAGAAAGACCATCCTCAGAAGACAATCACATTAAACCAAAGTGTAACATACAAAGGTGAAGACCCCATGCTTAGTAAAGGCAGCCAGGACATATAAGCTAGCAGACCACATTGTGAATAATCCTGGGCATAAGTAAGTCTAAAGAGGGCACAGAGACCCATCGAAAGAAGAAAACCAAAGGGAGGAAAAAAGAGAATAAAACAGAGGCAGGGAAAGAAGAAGGGGGAAGATGACGGATCATTGGAGACACTAGTTAAAGCTGACCCATGCTTGTCGAGGGGAGGTCAGGGAAGGCATACACAAACCATGGTTCCCAAATTTTCAAGAATTTGGCGTGTGAGTCATTAAGAATACTAGACATTTGTTTATTAAGCATCATTACTGTCAGACAGTCTTTCACTCCCTGAAGAGGGCCAATTTTTGTTGATGAGCGAATGGGGCAGTGCAGCAGGGTGAATTAAATCACCTTTCAGATATTCAGATGGAAAAGGGAATACAGCAGACCAAACACTCAAGACCAAAAGCCTACCAGTCGTGGACATGTCCACCAGGTATGCAAAACATCCCCAAATTGGCCACAACCTCAAAAAAACAGAGGTCACTAGAGGTATTTTGGCATGGGCTATATGAGCTGGGACTCAATTCCACCGCAGCAACACTTTGTACGCTGCCTCTAATGTGGCAGTATTAAATTAACATTTAGCAACAGAAGACCAAGCTTTGCTCCAGTCCGCCAGGTCAATCTCAGATTCCAAGTCTAGTTCCTACTGGGCCACATAGAAAAGGGAAGCAGAAGATGATCGACTATTTAAAGACACGTAAAGAGAGAAGATGAGACCCGGGGAACCCGGAAAGTGCTGACAGATGTGCTCAAAAGTAGTTTTCCAGAATGGATAGGAAGAGGTACACCGGAGAGAAGATATCTAGTGTTGAAGCTTAAGACAGCAAAAAACCCTGATTGGTGAGCATCATGGGACTCAAGAAAGGCGGCCCACGTTAGGGAGGACTGGGTGGTCTTGCAGAGTGTAATTTCATCTCTGCACCCCCTGCCTTCTAAAATATCAGACAATCTTTATAAATTCTGCACTTTGAATTGTTGTAGAGAAGAGAAACTGCAGGTAAGCAGGTACAACTTATGTAGGGTGATTTGTTTCATTTCTGTGTATCACCTGAGGACGGTCACTTCACTTCCCTGATTACAGGGATTCTGGTTCTGAAGGGGTTAAGCTACCTGTGAGGGAGTCTTTAAATGCAGCAGGAAAGGAAGGAATTCAGCAGGTGTCAGTGAGCAAGTTTGAACTCTCTGGCAAGCTTGTTGCATCCTGGTAGCCAAGCTGGCTCATGGCTGCTGCACCCGTAAGCTTGGTATTGATCTTTGTTTTTAGCTATTTAGCTGGCTCTTGGCTACCATTTTAAAGTGATCTGGATAGCTGTAGAGCCCAACAATCACTTTTATAGTGCCTTGAACCGAGGATACATCGCTTCTGGGTTCAGGGATGTCATCCCTGGCTACTATATCTGGGGCAGCAGCTAATCAAGCATGAACTGTGCTTGATTAGCTGCAGTGGAGGGCAGGGGTGACAATAGGGATCTAATAGTGGCTAAGTGGTTAGCACTTCTGCCTGGCAGCACTATTGTTATTGGTTTGAATTGCCACCATGGCACTACATGCACGGAGTTTGCGTGTTCTCCCTGTGCCTGCGTGGGATTCTTCCAGGTATTCCGGTTTCCTTCCACAATCCAAAGACGTGCTGGTAGGTTAATCGGCTCAAGTCTAAATTGGTCCTAACATGTGTATGTATGAATGCAAGTTAGGAACCTTAGATTGTACGCTCCTTGAGGGCAGGGACTGATGTGAATGTACAATTTATGTAAAACGCTGCGCAAATTGACCTGCCAAATGCTATTACATAGGGTGCTTGTTAGACCCATTGTGATAGCAAAAAAAGTTGACTAAAAGTTAAATAAAGTTAAATTAACTAAAACAAAATGTAACTAAAATGTATTAACTAAAAAAGAGTAAAATAAATATATATTTAAATAAACAAAAATAATAAAAAAAAATTAAATCCCCTGTCACCACACACAAGCCTGAATGCAAACACACATGTAGAGTATGCACATATATGTAAACATCAACTGCGCCACACATGAGATATGACCGCAAATGTCAGAGAGAGAGCAATATTTCTAGGGTCATCATTCATGGTTACTCTAAACTGATAACCTGTAATGGCTTTTAAAGCTTTGTCTTACGGATAATTTTGGGTACCATAGTTTTTTGTCATTTCACTGGCATGCACAATTTTAAGCCTTGATAATCTGGCCATCTATTTATTTGGAACAACCTCATACTTTTTATTGTACCAAAAAATTAGGTATTATATTCTGTTTGTGTGCACTAAAACGCATTTCAGTGTTTTTGCTCACAAAATATGCATTTGAACAGTTGCACAAATATCATGCAACCAAAAAAATTGCAACTGAACCCATTTTATTCAATAGGGTCTCTGTATAACTGCTTTAAAGTAATTTTCTAGAAAACAATGCAGATTAAAAAATATATGTGAACAATTTTAAATTTGCTCCGGTGGACAAGTGGTTAATAACATTTCACTTGTGACATTTCATTAAAGTATTAACAAACAAAACAGTGCAATGGGATGCCAGGATCGGTGTTTTATGATAGTAGTAATAACAATAAAAATACTATAAACCATTACTTAAGAAATTAGAAACAAAAAAAACAAACAAATAATTAAATAAAACTCACCCCCAAATCAGTATATTTTCCAATTAAAGGAACATATAAAAAAGAATAATACATTCCAGTACCTATAATAGTCTCCCTTGCTGCATGATGTTACAAAAGCTGACCCTACAAGCAGGAAAAAAGTTCAACATTATCTGATAATTATAACCATTTTCGTCTGCACAGAGTACATTCAGTACTGATGTTGCACCATATTAATTCACAGGACATTGTTTCTACTATGAGACATTTTGTTTAACTGAACTACGTGTAGGAGGTAACTCATTTCATCCTTTTCTGCATGCTGTAATCACGTTCCCACATTTACAAAATCTATGGCCATAGTACACAAATATATACCTGTATTTCAGAGCCCCACCCTTGCTGTACTACAAATAGGAATGGTTGGATGTATATAAAGCAGGAAGTATTGTATATATTGTATTGATTGATTGATTGATTGATTGATTGACATTGTATATACAGTGAAGATATAGCTCTTAAAGTCCAACTCCAACCAAAGCTAACCTTTTTACAAGGATAAACCTCATGTTGTTATTAGCTGTATGCTTCCTTTTGGGGGGACATATCATTTCCTGTTCCATTGCCTGGGTGTCAGAAGGACGAGTCATGATGGGATATCTCTCTGATGGGGACAAAGACAGCAAAGTACATTTGTGGAGATAGTTTAAAACTTCTGTCTGATTTTTATTGCTCCCTGAGTCTTACTGTCCCAGAATGCCCTCTCCTGTCTTGTGTTTCTGGACAAGAAGAGAGTGTAGATCTCCCCAGTGATGACACATACTGTAACAAAGAGTTCATCTTTCCTTTTTTTTTTTACAGTTTGGGTCTAGTAATTAGAACCGTTTAGGGTTGTAACACCTTTTTTTTGTTTTTTTGGGGGGGTTTTTTTGCTGCCCATTTGGTAGGTCTATGCTGGAGAACCAATAGGATGGAAGTAGAACTCTCCCCAGAGTAAAAGCAAATGACCGATTGGACATTTGTCACCAGGACAGGTTTCCCCAATTGAATATTTCAGCTCACCTCCTGATCCGGTGACATCTGTAAAATGTTAAGTCTCCCATCACTCTTTGATAATGTAAAAAAGGATAAAGGTATAAAGAA